ATAGAGGTCTAAATACAGGCATGTACATATGTAAATATATTTATATATGATGATAGGGAAATAGATCTATGTGCTTATATTTATAGGTTTAGTAGTAAGGCAGCAGATGGAAATTGGGTCTGCACCACATACTCCCTCAATACTTTGCTCAACTAAACGGACATTCCATGATACCCACTTTCCTGACAAGATCACTGAAGACAAATGTGTGCATAAGCAAATGTGGTGAAGAAAGCTGGTGGTACCTGGCTATCAAAAGATATGCACCTGGGGTCTTAAAGGCTTGAAGGTAAACAAACAGCCATCTAGCCGAGAAGCAACAAAGCCCACATGGAAGAAGCACAGTAGCCTGTGTGATCACGAGGTGTTGAGAGATCAGGCAGCAGACACCAAAGAACAAAAATCATCAGTGTGTGCTCACCTTCCTCATACAAACGCCGAAGACAAATGTGTACATAAATAAGTGTGGTGAAGAAGGCTGATGGTGGCCAGCTATTGAGAGATAAAGCATCTGGGGTCTTAAAGGCTTGAAGGTAAATAAGTGGCCATGTAGCCCAGAAGTAACAAAGCCCATATGGAAGAAGCACACCAGCCTGTGTGATCACGAGGGGTCAAAAGGACCAGGTATCAAGCACCAAAGAACCAAAAATCATATCATTATGAATGAGGGGGAGCGTGGGGTGTGGACCCAATGCCCATCTATAGGCAACTGGACATCCCTTTGCAGATGGGTAGTAGGGAGGAGATGAGTCACTCAGGGTGCAGTGTAGCATCGATGAAACACACAACTTTCCTCTAGTTCTTAAATGACCTCATCCATCATAATCCCAGTTCTACCTTACAAACCTTGCTAGACCAAAGGATGTACAGTGGTGCAGATAGGAACTGGAAACACAGGGAATTCAGGACAGATGAACCCCTCAGGACCAGTTGTTAGAGTGGTGATACCGGGAGGGTGGAGGGAAGGTGGGGTGAAAAGGGGGAACCGATTCCAAGGCTCTACATATAACCTCCTCCCTGGGGGATGGACAACAGTAAAGTGGGTGAAGGGAGACATCAGGCAGTGTAAGATATAATAAAACAATAATAATTTATAAATTATCAAGGGTTCATGAGGGAGTGGGGAGCGGGGAAAGAGGGGAAAAATGAAAAATGAGGAGCTGATGCTAAGGGCTTGGCTGGGGAGCAAATGTTTTGAGAATGATGAGAGCAACGAATGTACAAATGTACTTTACACAAGTGATGTATATATGGATTTGGATAAGAGTTGAATGAGCCCTCAATAAAATGATTTAAAAAAAAATTTTTTTTTGTTCCTGGGTAAATGCTTCCCTTTTGCTCTCAAATGGCTCACTATTCTAAGGAGGGCATGCTTTTCTAGGGTTACTTTGGCTGTGAGTTTAGTTTCAGACCTGAAGGGTGACTAAGGGTTACAATCTCAATCTGACTCACAAACCAGGTTTTTCTTATGATTTTGAATTTTGTTCCACATTTTTCTCTCACTCTATCCAAGGCCTTCTGATGTGATCCTTTCAGAGTGGTTGGTTGGTAGTGGTAGCTGGGCACCATCTATAGTCTTCTGGTTCAAGGTCATGGAGGCTGATGTTCATATGGCCCATTCGTCAATTTGGACTAGTTATTTTCACACCTCTTTAATTTTCCTCATTCTTTTATACCCTAGACAGGGAGAGACCAATAGTTGTACCTTAGATGGCCACTCTGGGATGTGCTGTAAGTCCTAGTCTCTCTATGTCTGTAGTTATGGTCCCATTTGTGAGTTACATTATGTTACATTATGTTAAGAGGTATGATTAGAATGGGATGTATCCTCAGCCACCAATCTACTAGAAGGTGTGATTAAAGTCACTGTCCTTACCACCCTTATTCAAGTCACCACTTTTTAAAGTCTTACTGGAGTCATGCTCTTGCTTGAGTCACACCTTTTATCTCCTGTCTCTTACAACATATAAAAGGTGAGAGAAATGAGCAGAAAAGGGGCTCTTATGACTACCAAGAAAGAAGAGCAAAGAGTGGAGTGTGTCCTTTGGGCCCAGGGTCTCTGTGCTGAGAACCTCCTACACAGAGGTGACGTGTGCGCGTGCGTGCGAGAAAGAGAGAGAGAGATCATAGTGGAGATGCTGAGAGATGGCAAGAAGCAGTGGCAGAGAAATGGTGGCAGCCGAAGTAGGAGACCAGTGGGAGATGGTGAGGTCGGCTTCCTGGATCATTGAACAAGAAAGCTGAGCACCTTCGGGAAGAAGGCTTGCTGGCAGTGGGATGCCTCTGCGCACTTGGTGGTGGAGTGAAAGACGTTTATGTAGCACTTGTCTGAGTGGTGCAGAGATCAGGTTGGCATAAGAGGCTCTACAGGTCCAAGGGGCTGAGGGTTAGAGAGAGACCTGCCAGTGGCTATGGCTGAGAATAAACTGACCTGACCAAAGACGCATATTCTGAGTTGTTTCTGATCCTGAGTTGTAACCTGTCACTTCCCTAATATACCACAGAACTGTGAGTCTCTGGGAGTTCTGTGTAGCCATTGCAATGAATTATGAAACCCAGCAGACAAATAGGAAGTGCTGTCGGATAGATAGATGGTGTCAGAATTGGTAAAACAGTTGGAGATTAGTTGCCTCACAGACTAATACCTTGAATGATGACGATTCTCCCAACTTGTGAGAGTAGACTAGATGCTTCCCAGCATACCATTTTTACACACACAGTAAAATTGACTCCCTTCATTTTACAGACTAGTTTGCATATATTTTAATTTCCAGCCACTAAAACAAGAGCTAGAATCCAATTCACCACATTTTGACTCTAGTGCTCCTACTACTACATAAACTCCTATTTTACCCATTGAAGAGATTTCTGAACATCTTCTTATCAAGGACTTTTCTTTTTGAGCCCATTCCTGAGAGTACATTGAGATCTACTTGATATTTTGAATTCAGTTCCAAAGTTGGCTAATGCTAAGAAAAAAGTGAGGATTTCTTCTCTGTATTCTGGGGGGCTCATGTGTCACATCTTAAAGCACAAGTTAATAAAAATTCATACAGGAGATAAAACTGATCTAGCAATAGGCCACACTTTAAAAATGGAGGCTGCAACAAACAGACCTTGAATTATTTAAGAAAGAAAAGAAAAGGGGGAGGCTGATTGTCAAAGGGAACTCACAAACTGTGGGTGCCAGAGAAATTAAAGAGGAATGGAAACGAGAAAGTCAAAGGGAAGATGAATGTGTCCCCACACTAGTAACAGAATCAACTCCTCTATTGTACTGAGGAAGAGAAGGAAATGAGGGGAGGGAGAAGTTGTTAACAAGGTGGTGAGGACTTGACAAATGCTGGAAAGAATGGGGAGCTGAGACCATACTTAGGAAACTGTCCACAGCCAAGGGTATCCACAGGGAATTCACTAGACAAGGGGTACAAATGGCCAATCAATAGACACGAAGAGTTAAACTTTACTAGTAATGAAAAGCAGGTAAACAAAACAAAAAAGGTAACTTTAAAAAATCCATTAAGCTGGCACATATTAAACAAGACAGTAATAACGCAACAATCACACCAAGCGTGAATACTGGGAATGGCATCCATCATCCGGATGGAATGGAGAGAGACAACGTTTCTGGAAGGACAGCAGATCATATTCTTTGACCAACAATTCCATAAAAAGAAAAAAAGGGAACATTTAGGAAATGGTAAGACACGTGTATAAAGATTTATGTGGAAAGTGTATCCTTTGCATTGACAGTAAGGGAAAACTGGAAACAACCGTCATGGCTACTGATGGAGGGCTGACTGTTCACATAAATGAGAGAACAGCTAGGCAGTGGACTATTATACTAAACCAAACCCCCGGGCAGCCTGTCGACGCTGACTCCGAACGGCTGTACAGGACAGGGCAGCACAGCCCCATTCCGTAGTTTCTGAGACAGTAACCGTCTTTCTCCCGAGGCGCGCCGGTGGTTACAAACTGGCCATCTTGCAGATCGCAGCCAAACACGTTACCCACCAGGGCTCCTGCCCATTCTACAGCCACTAGAAATTGTGTTGGACGTGAATGCCGAAAATACTGAACACTTTCCTTGTGTGCTAAAAGAGCTCCAATATACACCTGAAGTATCACCCCTAAGTTATACAAAGCCTCAATAGACATACGTGTACATACTAGTATAGACAAGTAACTGGCAGCTACCACCTCTAAGCACCACCTGTACTATTAGCGAAGCCCACTGCTGCCGAGCGGATCCGACTCACAGTGACCGTAAAGAGCAGAGCAGAACCGCTCCACAGAGTTTACGAGGCTGAAAACTAGAAAGCCACCTCGGCCTCTAGCGAAATGGCTGTCGGATTCGAACCACCGACCTTCAGGTTAGCAGCTGCGGGCTCCTTCCACCACATATAGTACGATAACCAGATTGGACAGATATTTTAAAGATGCCTGTGGTTGGTCTACTCCCGGTGTCTACAATTACCATGGAAGACGATACTTTGCCAGGGCTGTCAGCAAACGCGACCTCTCCCCAGCCGTCACTCACGCGTCGTCCGCACCTCCAGTAAGTCAAGGTCTGGCAGCGCTGGAGGGAGCAGTTCCGGGGAGAGAAACGGAAGTCGGAAGTGCGCAGGCGCAGCCGGTCCGCGAACGTCCACTAGGCCGCGAGCGACAGCTCCCTTTGCCGGTCTACCCGGAAGCTTTAGTCACTTCCGCCCGTAGTAAAGCCGACCCAACTTTCTCTCCGCCCCTTTTCCCAGACGAGTGGCGGGGATTTGCCTCTTAGACTAACTGTGATTGGCTCGCGAGGAGACCCGAAAGCGTCACGGATCGAGGCCGAGCAGGGGACACTCTAGCCTCGAGAACTGGGTCGCGCTTCGTCCCACGCTTGCACCCGGGAACCGGCGTTTTCCGGGCTCTTCTCGATGGTATCTATGGGCGGATAGAGAGGGTCGCGCAAGGCACCATGGGGGCGGGAATGGCGGCTTCCACCGTGCGGATTTCGGGTCTCTGAGGCCGCCCGAGCGCACGGTGGCGGCGCAGGCGTCCCGGATCCTGGGACCAGCGGGCCCAGAGAGACGGGCTCCGTGCGGTGAGTGACCCGTCTTCCTTCCTGCCCTCGCCAGTCGGGGCTGCTCCCCGGCAACGCAACGGATATTGCTCCTTGCACAGGTCCGGTGTTGGAAAGTTCCTCTCGGTGCCTGCCCGGGCCCCTTCCCTCCTCTGGCCATTCTCGCCCCCTTTCCCAGGCCTCCGCTGTAGCCCACTCCCTGGCCGGTGCCTTGCGGGAGCAGGGACCCCCGGTCTTGCTCTTTTCTCACCGTGGTTTCACTACCCGACAGCTTGATGGGCGGTCTCCGTCGCGAGGGTCCAGTGAGCTGCAAGAATGCGAGCATTTCTGTCCGTTTTGCTTTCTGCTTTGTCTTGATTGCCTACAACAGCGATTGGCTCAGAGAAGCCTGCGAATAATTGTGGAATGAGTAAATCCAGCTCTTTTCTTCACTGTCTTTTGTGTACCCTTTGTGGCATCCCCGGAATCTAGCCTTTCGACGCCTCGTTTTACCTTCCAAGAAACAAGTTGAGCTCTCTCCTTTTCCTGTGCTACTGGTTTCTTTGCTACACTGTGTGGTTTCTGTTCTCCTTGGCTACATTCACATTCATTCATTTATTCATCAAACGGTTATTGTACTAGGTGCTGGGCTACCGCAGTTAACAAAATAGGCAGGGTTCCCTCTCCTACAGAGAAGTATTCTGGGGGTGTATTTCCTCCTTAGAACTGTCGAGCAAAGCATATGTATCTACCTCTGCCTCCCCGTTTGGATTTCCCTACATGCATACAGCTGTCACCAGTAGGCAGCCGTAGCTTTTCTATTCTGAATGATGATATTTTCAAAATCCAACTCTCCTTTCTGGTGGAGAATATGTGCGCAGTCTGTTGGACTGGACTCGTAGTATAGAGCTGGTATGTTTGTTGTCAGATCATGGCAAAATCTTCTGGATTCTCGTGGCGCCCGACCCTTCGGCAATTCCTCTGCGTCACTGACTTGCTGGAGTGAGAGGAATGATGTAGGCACTCACTCGGAATAGGTGTATGTTTTCAGTGCTGTGTAACTAGCAGTCGGGATTTGTGATGAGTTCAGGGCCAGGAAGCTTTGCAGTCACTTAAAGAGGGGGGGGCGGGTGATCACCCTCCAAGGATCACCGTTCCCTCATCTAGAGTTTCTCATCTGTGTTTTTGGTGGACATGGTTCGTTATTAAACAAATTTGGATTACTGTGAAGTGATTCTTTTTTGCAAGTCGCACAGGACTGAGTGTGGGTAACACAAACAACAGCCAGGTGCCCCCAGATCTCTAGTGTATCTGCAGGTAAAGGGCAGGGATGGAATAGAAGACGATAGAGTGTACACTCTTGGGAAACAAACGAAATGAGTGGTAGACCCAATCAGCAGTGTAGGAGTGAGGTACAAAAAACAATGCCACAGTTACATTTAAAAAAAAATCATTTTATTGGGGGTTCTTACAACTCATCCATCATCCATCCATTGTGTCAAGCACATGTGTACATTTGTTGCCATTGTGTCAAGCACAATGTACATTTGTTGCCATCACAGTTACATTTGTGTAACTCATGTTGGTTACAAAGGAGCCTGTTGGGGCAGTGATTAAGTGCTTGGCTGCGAACTGACAGGGCAAAACGCTTAACTCACCAGCAACTGCTTGTTGGGGGAAAGCTGTGGCATTCTGCTGCTGTTAAAGTTTACAGCCTTGGAAGACCTGCGGGGCAGTTCTACCCTGCCCTGTGATTCAGAATGGACTGGATAGTCATGGACTATGAGTACAGAGAGCTTTCCTGGACTCTTGCCTGATTCCAATAATAACACACCATGTTT